GATTAGGAATGATTGTAGAGTTTGGATAAGGAAGAGAATCATAATTCTATTGGAAGTCTTTTTTTCAATACCTTGAAACAGAGACTTCACCCAGACAGCATAACATACACATTTCCCAACAGGTGAATACGATATGGAAATGGCCCTCCCACCCAAGCTAATGAGACTGGACTTCCTTTGCCCAGGTTTATATTTCCTTCTCACCTCAGTGACCTCCCTTCCGTTAAAGCAGGACAAAAGTGTTTGCCTATCCTATCTGTAGTTACTGTCACTGAATTTCTGCTGTCTCCTTGACTCATTTTAATTGAATGACTGCCCATGCAGGGGCCACAGAAAAGTGAAGTAGCCATTTAGCTTTATAACTAGTCACATGCTTAAGGCAGAAAAATGGAACTCTTTGACCCCAAGAAGCACTTTTTAAAGAAATAAAATCTTTCTTCTCTACTCGTCTGATTTTCTTCTTTTAAAGAAACCTGGTTTAATAGGGCTATTCATTTTATATTTAAAAATCATTTATGAAAAAACTTGTACAAGGGACTTGTAAAATTCTACTAGATCTTGATAATAAAATTAGTAAGTTTAAAGAACAGCAACAGACCTAACCAGTTTGGCTCATTGGATAGAGCATCAGCCTGCGGACTGAAGGGTCCCAGGTTTGATTCCAGTTAAGGGCATGTACCTTGGTTGCAGGCACATCCCCAATAGTGGGTGTGCAGGAGGCAGCTTATTGATGTTTCTCTCTCATCGATCTTTCTAACTTTCCATCCCTCTCCCTTCCTCTGTAAAAAAAATCAATAAAATATATATATTTTTTAAAAAGGACAGCAACAATGAAACAAGGGTATTTTGAGGCTAGTATAATTATATATATTTATAAAACAAGCTAAATAGTTGAAACTGGCTCATTAAAACTAGTCAAGAAAACTTACTTTTATGTAATAGAAATCATACTATCAAATATTTATTTTGCTCTAGCCTTGTTTAATTAGAAAAAGGTTTTGATTAGAACTTGATTAATAGTTTATATTGAAGTTTGGTATTTTAAACAAAATACTTTAAAACAGAAGGCACTTCAGAAATCAGAGTATTATACTCTTGTATTATAGATGAGCTTTAAGTGATATTATGCCCAAGGTCACATACCTACTAAGTGATGGAAGCAAAACTGAACACATGTATGTTGATCCCAAGTTCAGCTTATTCAACTGTATTATGCTTCTTTAGTCCTTCTTTAACTTTTATCTGGTTAAAGAAAAAAATTTTCACATTCAAACCTATACAACTGGAAAATTATGTTATCGAGACTAATAATGCTTTGTTGTTCTATTTATTTGGAATGGAAGTGTTTTAGTAATATGAATAGGTGTGAAGCTTGACGGGTGGAAATGGACAGGTCACTCATGAAGCAGAAATTAAATCCTTTTAAAATGTTGGTAGGGCCGAAACAGGTTTGGCTCAGTGGATAGAGCGTCAGCCTGCGGACTGAAAGATCCTGGGTTCGATTCCGATCAAGGGCATGTACCTGGGTTGTGGGCACATCCCCAGTAGGAGGTGTGCAAGAGGCAGCTGATCGATGACTCTCTCTCATTGATGTTTCTAACTCTGTCTCTCTCCCTTCCTCTCTGCAAAAAATCAATAAAATATATATTTTTTTAAATTTAAAATGTTGGTAGGCATCAGGGGCTCATATAATTTACTAGAAATGTCCAACAGACTCCTTATCTTTTAGCAAAGGTTGTTACGGGAAATGGAGTTTGGAATGGGATGGTTGGGGGAGGGTCTGTTACTCTCTTCAGCTGGATCAAAACTGGAAATATTTTATTTGAAGGTACTAAATATTTTTTAAAAAAATATATTTTATTGATTTTTCACAGAGAGGAAGGGAGAGGGACAGAGTTAGAAACGTCGATGAGACAGAATCATCGACCAGCTGCCTCCTGCAAACCTCCCACTGGGGATGTGCCCGCAACCAATGTGCCCGCAACCTTGACCGGAATCGAACCCAGGACCTCCCAGTCTGCAGACCGACGCTCTATCCATTGAACCAAACTGGTCCCAGCTGAAGGTACTAAATATTTTAATGAACATACCACTGTGGAATGAAAGGTTTTGGTGTAAATAACTACATATGTTATCCTATATTTAAACTGTATTTTGGAAGTTAATATAACTATGGATATCATGCTAGGACATCACCGCAGTGAAACTATTCCCAGTAAGTCTATGTTTTGGTCACTGTTAATGGGTAAACAAGATAGCATCTGATATATATTAGCACGAATTACTTATTTCTCAAAAGTTTCTACTATTAATAATAATTACTCTTATTACTCCAGTAAGAGTAATAAATAAAGTAGCACTCTCTCTGCCTCAGTTTCTTCTTAAAAGAGCAAACCTTATTTTGTATCTTCCAGGGTTATTTTTTCCTGTTCAAGTCTTTATTAGTGTCAGGTACTCTTCTGGATTCTAGGGATATAAATATGACTAATACCTATAGTATGCTTTTAATTTCAACTAAAATAAGTGGTGAAAGCAAACATATCCTGAGGATACTGTACTCTGACATACTAATTGTACCTAGTAAGCTGCTACTGAGAACTCAGTTACACATAGACTATCTTACTCCTCTTGGAGATATTTAGTTGTTGAGCTTGAGAAGGGAGACATCTTTTAGAATACTTCTTTAAAAATGAAAATAAGTCTAATGCCAGTCACAAGTTAAAGGATCAGATAATAGCCATTTCACCAGCTTTAAGGATCAGATAATAGCCATTTGAACAAGATACAGAATAGGTGAGAAAGTTGCCAAAGACAAATTTCATTTTATTTCCAATTTGCTTTGTGTCATCCTTGGTTAGTTATCAAATCACAGGGTATTTTATTTTATTTTTTAAAGATATTTTATTAATTTTTTACAGAGAGGAAGGAAGAGAGATAGAGAGCTAGAAACGTCGATGAAAGAGAAGCATCAACTAGCCGCCTCTTGCACACCCCCTACCGGGGATGCGCCCGCAACCAATGTACATGCCCTTGACCGGAATCGAACCCAGGACCTTTCAGTCCGCAGACCGACGCTCTACCACTGAGCCAAACCGGTTTCGGCAAATCACAGGGTATTTTAGCATGGTACCGTTCTTTGTCAATTATGACCATAGAAGATCGACTTTCAGTTTACAACAAAAACAAAGAAATGCAAGGAAATAACAAAATATGCAAAGTCTTGGATTTTGAAGGTAATAGTAGATGAGCAAAATCTGTAAGGCTTGTATCACAAGCATATAAATACATTTCTTCTTAATATTTAAATTGAGCACTTATAATAAGGGTGGATAGAAATAAGCAAAGACAAGTATTCTCTCCTTCACTCAAGAGATTATTTCCTAGAGTTAAATCAAAAGATAAATGTTATTTGGTTTGTTATCCAATATAATAAAGAGGTAATATGCAAATTGACCATCATGCCCTCGCACAAGATGATCACCCCATGTGGTCACAAGATGGCCAGCGGGGGAGGGTAGTTGGGGGTGACCAGGCTGGCAGAGGAAGGCAATTGGGGGCAATCGGGCTGGCAGGGGAGCAGTTAGGCATCGATAAGGCTGGAAGGAAGTGGTTAGGGAGTGATCAGGCTGGCAGGCAGAAGTGGTTGGGGCAATCAGGCAGGTGAGTAGTTGGGAGCCAGCAGTCCTGGATTGTGAGAGGGATGTCCAACTGCCGTTTTAGGCCCAATCCCTGTGGGCCTAAACCAGCAGTCGGACATCCCCCAAGGGGTCCCAGATTGGAGAGGATGCAGGCTGGGCTGAGGGACAAACCCCCTGCCAGTGCATGTATTTCATGTACTTGGACTCTAGTCTATATCGTAAAAGGCCTGTGGTAATGATGCTGTAAAGACCAAACAACCTGTCACCGGGTGTATAGAGCACCTCTTGTTGGGTAGAACTTATGGCTTGCGTGGCAGGTGGTGGAGGGCGGCCATGTGGCAAAGAGGACACAGCAAGGTAAATAGTGGGCCGGTGGGGCCACGTGGTGGAGAGGGCATGGGGGTGGGCGCTGGGCAGGCAGGGCGCACCACAGAGGTCCCCAGGTGGCGAGAGGAGGTGCTCCTGCTGTGAGGGGAGGGATAGGGCACACACAGCTGGCAGCGGGGGAGTTGGGATAGGGGAGGCGGTGTGCTGGGCAAGGGCGCAAGCTGGTAGTGTCTGTCACAAGGCACCAGCAGCATCCATGGAGCATATGAGGTGTCACAGAGGTGGCAGACATGGCACTGATGGCAAGCTAGGCCTGACGCTACACACACACAATTTAACCGTGTGCTGGGCCTCTAGTAACTTCATAAGAAAACTTAAGCTTCATTTACTCATTTAATGAGTCAGCTCTCTCAAACAAACAAACAAACAAACAAAAATATATATATAAAAGAAAAAGTTTCTTCCTATTAAAAATGCTTTTAAAGGATCCCTAATATGCTTATATACCCAAATAATTTGTTACTAGTATTTCACAAGGAATATCATTTTATTACTGTAATTGCAATATCATAATTTCTGTACAGGAATGTATAAATGAACAGTAATCAATGCATTGATAATTCACTTCATAAAGAGGGTGAACACACTATAGAACATATAAAGAAAAAAATTTTGTAAAGTTTTCTGGCTTTGAAGTGCACTTTTTAGTGCAAGTATTTAAGACAAAATAGTGTTCAATTCAGCAAAGTACTGCAGAATGTCATGCCACAGTCCAGTTAATTCAAAGAGGGTCAGGACATGCAGCTTGTAATAAAATGTCAGATTGTGTGTACATACATATATATGTATATGTATACATATATATGTATATACACACACATATATATACACATATATGTATATGTATATATATATAAAACCACATGTTATTCATAAAATATATAGTGGTTTATTTAGATGGTTTTAAATGATTTCACTGTGGAATCAGCATAACTGGAACAAACTTCCAAGATCTTAACAGGAGTAATCTTCCTGCTAGGCAATGGCTTTGGCTTCAGGTAGGAATGCTTCCCAGTATTTTATCAGCTGTGGATAATAATAAAGATAAAAAATAGTCTCATTACCTTTTTGTCATTTATATGCATATATCCTATAGAGCATTAAAAAAAAAACAACAAAAAAAACACCCTATATAAATAGCTAGTAGTGATCAACATTTTACTAAAGCCTGGTTTTTAAAATCATTTTAATTCCATTATCTGAAGTTTATCAATATAATTCATGTATAACTTATTATTAATTACTTCTGGCTAATTTTTTTTTTATGTAAGCAATATAATTTTAAAAATATCCAAAACAAGATCTTTTTGTCTTATGTGAAACTGTAAATAAAAAGATTGTTAGTATAAAAGAGATTAACTTAAATAATAAAACTACAAGCTTTTTCCAATATCAAGTGATAGCATCTAACATATTCATATGTTATATTATTGCTAGCCAAAAAGAATGAGAAAAAAGGAAAGAGAAAAAGACTGAAGAAGAATAAGAAAAGAGACTGGGAAGAATTAACTGCTAGTCTTCCCTGGATATACCAGAGAATAGATTGAACTAAAAACTAAAGTTACATTTAAAATAATTCCTTTAGCTGCTCGGGTAGACATCTAGCTGCGGCAGCACACAACAATTTCAATGGAATACAACTAAAATGTAGAGTGGACATTGCCCAGAGCTACAGGTAGTCGACTGACTGAAATTCCTACAACAAGAAGGAAAGAGAAAACCAGAAAGAAAATCAGAGGAGCTGAAAAAAAGCCTAAGGTACGGAGACATGCTGCGCGCGCCTGCCCGCCCGCACGCGCGCACGGAGAGGTCGCAGCCGGAGAGGCGGAGAGGGCGGGGAGCTGCCTTTCCTTCCCTAGCAGGAAGGAAATAAAACCCCCAGCCTGGGCTGGACCCCCGAACCGGCAGCGCTGAGCCCCCCCGAACCGGCAGCGCTGAGCCCCAGTTATGGGCCAGACCCTGGGGACCCAGGCTCCGGCGGGAGGAGACAGGGCCGTGAGGCGGAAAAACGGCGAAAGGCAGGGCCCCGGGAGTCGCGCGCAATGCGCGCAGAGGACTGAATGTTGACTCTGATGCTGGGTTGCCCTAGCCGGAAGAAACAAGGCCTCCGGCGGCGCTGGGCCTCAGTCCAGACTGCTCCGAACCCCAGTTCTGGGCCAATCCCTGGGGACCCAGGCTCAGGCAGAGGGAGACTGGGCTGTGAGGTGGAGTCCGGGGAGAGCGGCGAAAGGCCGGGCCCCCAGGACTCGCGCAAACTGCGCGCAGAGGACAGTCTGTGGGACTCGCGCAAACTGCGCGCAGAGGACAGTCTGTGGGACTCGCGCAAACTGCGCGCAGAGGACAATCTGTTGACTCTGATGCTGGACTTCCCTAGTGGGAAGGAGAAAAAAAAAGCTCTAGGCTGGGGGAACGCGGAGGGGAGCGGAAGCCCCTGCCGGACTCCAGCCAACCGGGCACCAGCAAGGAGGCGGGCCACGAGGCCCATGGGGGCGTGGGTGCCCCTGAGCCTTTGACCACTGAGCTCGGGCAACGGAGCCAAGGCCTGGGGCTGCTTCCTGGGCGGCGCCGTCCCAGCAACAGGCTGAAGCAGCACAGGAGCCCGCGGAAAACAAAGGGGTGCCACAGGCCAACCTGCTGAGCTCCCAGGACAAGGAGGAAGAAACCAAAGAAGTTCTCAATGTGAAGAAATCAAGTGAGAGCAAAAAATAGTAAAATTACTTAAGAAAGAATACAAAGAAGATCTTTAAAAATCAAAGACTAAGTCAGAACTCAACTCACCAGCCAACATTGCAACATAAATGTGTTTTAAAAAGAAAAAAAAAGGACAGAATGTTGGAACAGCGACGGCCAGGCCTAGAGTGGCCAGGCACAAGGCAGTGGCAGCCAGGCCCGGAGCAGCAACGGCCAGGCCCCAGAACAACAGCAGCCAGAACCAGAGCATCAACAGCCAGCACTGGAGTAGCCAGAACTGGGGCAGTGGCAGCCAGGCATGAGGCAGAGGCGGCCAAGCCCAGGGTGGCCAGTCCAGGAACACCCAGACCCGGAGTGGCCGGGCCCAGAGCAGCCGGGATGGGAGCAGCCAGACCCAGAACAGCAGTAGCCAAGCCCAGAGCATCCAGGTCGGGAGTGGCCAGGCTCGGAGCGGCCGGGCCCGGGGCAGCCGGGCCCAGAGCAGTCAGGTCAGGTGCGGCCAGGCCCGGAGCAGCAGCTGCCAGGCTGGGAGCGGCCAGGCCCGGGGGAGCAGTCGGGTCGGGTGCGGCCAGGCCCGGAGCAGCAACTGCCAGGCTGGGAGCGGCCAGGCCCGGGGGAGCAGGCGGGTCGGGTGCGGCCAGGCCCGGAGCAGCGGCTGCCAGGCTGGGAGCGGCCAGGCCCGGGGGAGCAGGCGGGTCGGGTGCGGCCAGGCCCGGAGCAGCGGCTGCCAGGCTGGGAGCGGCCAGGCCCGGGGGAGCAGGCGGGTCGGGTGCGGCCAGGCCCGGAGCAGCGGCTGCCAGGCTGGGAGCGGCCAGGCCCGGGGGAGCAGGCGGGTCGGGTGCGGCCAGGCCCGGAGCAGCGGCTGCCAGGCTGGGAGCGGCCAGGCCCGGGGGAGAAGGCGGGGCTGGTGCGGCCAGGCCCGGAGCAGCGGCTGCCAGGCTGGGAGCGGCCAGGCCCGGGGGAGAAGGCGGGGCTGGTGCGGCCAGGCCCGGAGCAGCGGCTGCCAGGCTGGGAGCGGCCAGGCCCGGGGGAGCAGGCGGGGCTGGTGCGGCCAGGCCCGGAGCAGCGGCTGCCAGGCTGGGAGCGGCCAGGCCCGGGGGAGCAGGCGGGTCGGGTGCGGCCAGGCCCGGAGCAGCGGCTGCCAGGCTGGGAGCGGCCAGGCCCGGGGGAGCAGGCGGGGCTGGTGCGGCCAGGCCCGGAGCAGCGGCTGCCAGGCTGGGAGCGGCCAGGCCCGGGGGAGCAGGCGGGTCGGGTGCGGCCAGGCCCGGAGCAGCGGCTGCCAGGCTGGGAGCGGCCAGGCCCGGGGGAGCAGGCGGGTCGGGTGCGGCCAGGCCCGGAGCAGCGGCTGCCAGGCTGGGAGCGGCCAGGCCCGTGGGAGCAGGCGGGGCGGGTGCGGCCAGGCCCGGAGCAGCGGCTGCCAGGCTGGGAGCGGCCAGGCCCGGGGGAGCAGGCGGGGCTGGTGCGGCCAGGCCCGGAGCAGCGGCTGCCAGGCTGGGAGCGGCCAGGCCCGGGGGAGCAGGCGGGTCGGGTGCGGCCAGGCCCGGAGCAGCGGCTGCCAGGCTGGGAGTGGCCAGGCCCGGGGGAGCAGGCGGGTCGGGTGCGGCCAGGCCCGGAGCAGCGGCTGCCAGGCTGGGAGCGGCCAGGCCCGGAGCAGCAGCAGCCAAGTCCAGAGCAACTAGGTCGGGAGCGGCAGTGACCAGACCCGGAGCAGCTGGTTGTGGAATGAACCAGAGCAACAGAGGCCAGGCCCTGAGCAGCCAGGCCCAGAACAGCTCGCTCCCTGCCTGCCCCTGCCCCACGGCTGCTTCTCAGACATGGCTGGAAACTTTCGTGGGAACTTGAGGGTCTGCTGAATCAAGTGATGAAGGCTTAGATCTGGATGTGTTGAGTTAGTTTAGGACTGGGGTGTTGATCTGTGAGTGCCTTGGGTGGGGCCTGGATGAGGCTGGTTGACCTAGTGGGAAATGTCTTTTGTGTGAAGTGTATCATTGGGCATGTGGAGGTATTATTGATATGAGAAAATGCTAAGTAACTGATTTACTATCTGAAAAGGGATTTACTATTGGGGAAATTGAGGGAAGAAGAGACTGAACATAAACTGCACCTATGGATGAGGACAATGGGGGATGGGGGCGGGACGGAGGGTGGGGTGGGAACCTGGTGGAGGGGGGAAGAAATGAGGAACCTTTGTAATAATATGAACAATAAAGATTGATTTAAAAAAAAAAAAAAAAAAGAAGTCAATGGGGGATATATGTAATACTTTACATATGTAAACTTATGTAATACTTTCAACAATAAAGTTTTTTTTTAATGAGAAAAAAAAAAAAAAAAAAAAAAAAATAATTCCTTTAAAAACAAACATATAACTTATCATATTTTAAATATCTGATTTTATGAATTAAGTATTTAAAATAAAAATACATATTTTGAAGATACGTAATCACCTAATTAAAAAATTATATAGGCAAGCTTCTAATCACATATTTTAGAACTAGAGAAAGAAACCCTTCTAATAGAGACATTAAATAATTTGATCTATTACTCAAATTTATATAAAAACAGAAATAAAACCATGTCTGCTATTATCTTGTCAGTCTTTGATTTAATCTAACAGGAATACCATTATCTCTTCGGGTTAAGGAGACAAATACCACTACTTGTGGCATACAATCACAATCAACCAGATTAAAATAAAAATCAAAACAGGATTTTTAAAAACCTAAAGAATATTATTTTTTAGTTTAAGTTCTGTCTTCCATCATGGAAGAACTTACAATAAGAATTTACTCAAACAGGTATGATCAATAGGAAAATAAAGTTAGGAAGAAAAGAAAAAGTTGCTTAGTATATTTTTCATAGCCAAAAATTGAAAAAGGTATATCTCAGCTAGTGGTTAGAAAGAATAGAGGCAAAAAGGAGCTGAGAGTTTCCAATTACTTTAGCTTCCATTTTTTCCTTTGCTGTTATTAATTTTCTCTACTTCATTTCTTATTTTTTATTTAAGTTTATAAGCTCCTTTCATTGATTATCATTTTTAAAATGAAAAGTATACAAAAAATAAATTCTAGAAAAAGTTTATATTAAAAAATTGGCTTACCTGTTGTTGTGTTTGTACTAATGATTCTAAGTACTTGATAATAACAGTTTTAAAATCTTTCACTCGTTCTTTCTGTTAAAAGTAAAATACATGAAAAAAGTCCATTAGTTTAAAAACTAAATTTGATTTTATCATAAAATCGCAGCAAATCTTGCAGGATTTTCGTGCATTGGGCCTCTAGTTCAGTTATAACAATGTTTATCTTTGTATGTCAAAATAATCCACTCTATAGCCTCCTCCATAAAAGGGATAGATTTACACTGATGATCCACTCTGGAACTCCATCCCCCTGCCACAAATTTATGATACACATTTGGATGCAAGCTCATCTAGGTTAGACAAGTTGCAATTGAGTTTTATACTAATGTTAAGAAAAGTGTAAAATTATTATACTTGCCTCAAATCTTCCTACTTCTTTTCGAATTGTTTTAGAGATCTGTTCAAAATCTCTTTCTCCTTGTTGTACTTTTGCCTCCCACTAATAAAAACAAACAAAAATGCACAATTATTTTATTCTGGAAAAAATTTATAGAATTAGCTGTCATGATCACTCACTTAGTTTAATGGAATACCTGAAAACCCTACGGAAACTCAATACTTACTGGCAAAGCCCAATTGAGCATCATTAAAACTTACACCTAACTTTCCAGTAGAAAAGATGAATATTAGCTTAATTTCCATTAAAATATTTCATTGTCAGATTTATTCAAAATCAGTATATTCTAGGACTCACTGAATTACAATATCCATTGCCGAATTAACTATTAATATAACTACAATGTTATGAAATAATTATAAGTATAAAATTCGCTATCAAATAATTTAGCAGTGTTAGATTTTAATTTTCTTATCTTTTTTATATCAATTATTTCAAAATATACAAACTACATTCTGCTAATTTCAAGACTACATATTCAGCACAATTTATATACACATAGAAATACTTTAAATTAAGAAAACTGTATGACAAACATTTAAAAAACATTTTTGAAACAGTAAAATGTCCAGATTAAAAAAAAATTTGTGGAATTATGGTCTACTAAAGACCTATTGATAAACATTAAAATTAGTACAGCAATAATAAAATGTGATTAGTGAATGAAACAGCTAAAATAAAATGACTGAAGAATTAAGCTATGAAATGGTATTTTCCCCCTATGTAACCAAAACACTGGTACATACTCTTTCAAGAGCAGGTACATTTACTTTGAGTAATATAAAGGTTGTCCTACCTCTTCAATTTCCTTATTGAAGCATGGCAAAAAAAGTGTATAAATTATAATAAACTTCTACAAATTTACTAAAATACCATATATAATACATATATATGGGAGATAATGTTGCCTGTACAGCTAAATGAGGAACAAACCCACCTCTAAATCTATTTTTAGACACAAAATAATTATCTGAAATAAAAAAAATATAAATGTAAATCTCTTCCTTGTGTTTCTTTCATTCCATGACCATGTGAATGTAAAAAAGGGCTCTGAAGATTTTAGTGAAAAATCGAAATGTTAAGGTAATTCTAACACAGTTCATAAAATTACAGAAAAATAGTTAGGTGTAGAATGGCTCAGAAATAAATTTATGAAAAATTATGCATATATGAATGACTCATGGAAAATTTTAGTAAAGAGATAAAGCATTCTGTATTAATCACCTCTCTTATTTCATTTTTAGCTTGCTGAATTTTATCTGGTTTGTTAGCAATCGTCATTTTTGCCTCAGTTTCACGTTTTTTGAGCAAAGTAATTTGAGCATCTTCCCATTTCTGCCAGCACTTCATTCGATGGTCAAACACACCCTATAAGTGAATGACATAATGCTATTAAGTGACAGTTAATGTTAAAATACTTTTATACTAGAAGTGCTGTAATACTAAATGCAATAAAACCCAGTATTTAAATTTTATTCTAATATACTAATGTACTGGAAATAAATTAAAAAAATATAAATTTCCATATTCATTTGCTTAAAAACAGAAATCCCTATGACTAGATAAAAATGTTAAGAGCTCAGAATAAACAGTTGCCATTGCTGAAGCAGAAGGTCAAATCAGTGATTTGGAAGACAAGGTAAAAACAAACAAACATCCAATCAGAGCAGAGGATAGTTTAAGGGACTTTGGGACAAGATGAAGCATAACAACATCCAGGTCATAGGGGAACCAGAAAAAGAGAAAGAGAAAGGGATTAAGAACCTATCTGAAGAAATAATGATTGAACACTTTCCTAATCTGGTGGAGGAAAAAGACATACAAGTCCAGGAAGTGCAGAGTCCCAAACAAGATGGACCCAAAGAGGCCACACTAGGACACATCATAATTAAAATGGAAAAAGTTAAAGACACAGAAAGAATCCTAAAAGCTGTATAGATGTAAGAGCTATGATAAAGGTAAAACTAAAATACAAGATCCAGAACCATACTTGTTCTTCTCAAAATGCTATTTTAAAAAGCAAACCTATATAATAAAGAGCTAATATGCTAATTAGACCAGATGGTGGAACAACCTTCTGGACTACCTTCCTGAACGACCAGTGGGTGAGGGACAGGGCCTCGAGGCAGCAGGCCTACTCTTGCAGGATTTTCGTGCATTGGGCCTCTAGTTCAGTTATAACAATGTTTATCTTTGTATGTCAAAATAATCCACTCTATAGCCTCCTCCATAAAAGGGATAGATTTACACTGATGATCCACTCTGGAACTCCATCCCCCTGCCACAAATTTATGATACACATTTGGATGCAAGCTCATCTAGGTTAGACAAGTTGCAATTGAGTTTTCCTGACTGAACATGAAATCTGATGTACAATTTTAATTAATTAACACCATATTCTAATTCAGTAAATCTGAAAATATGCTGCCTAGCTTCCTGGAGTCTTGAAAGGAAGCTGACTAGTTACCACCAAACAATGAAGCTTTTAAACTCCTTGGAGAACCCATCTATTGATTTTTAAATATATATTTCAGTACATACATTTTATAAATTTGAGTTCACTGTAAGAACTCTTAATGAAGAGTTCTAATGCTAAAAATGATAACCATTACCACCTTCAATCCCTGACCTTACTCTAGTGGTTCACAGAGGGCAAATACATAAGAATGCATGTAGTAAATTTACCGCTTCATACTAGAAAATGTTAGCTAATGGTACTAGCCAAAATATAATGTCTTAGATGTCAGAGATGTTGTACTGCACAAAAGAGGAAAACAAGAGTTCCCTGGATATGAGGCCAGCAGTAAGCAATATAATATTTTGACCATGTACAATTTATCTTTCTTTTGGGCCCCAATTTCTGACATTCTTCGCTTCCATTTTGGCTCTATATTCTAATTCCATAGTTTCAAATTTATCATCAGAGAAGTAATCTTAGGATGGATAAACAAAAGGATAAGAAATATTAAATAACTATTAGAAATAAGATTTTATTACATATAAAGGACATTATGTATATAAAGAAATGCAATGGTTTATCATTTATAAAGATGCTTAAATTCACACTATTAAAGAATTCAAAATGGATACAAAAAACACCTTTATTACTTGGTTGGAGAAGTATATAAATGTTGATGAGAGTACAAAGTATAACCTCTCCAGACAGTAATATGGCAATAATTAATGAAATGCATATGCCCTTTGGCCAAGCAATTCTATTTCTAAGAACTTATGCCCAAACAGTTATCAAAATACTTAATTTATGATTGGGTTAAATAATTCAAGGTACACCTATGTGCTATATGATGGAATAGTATGCAACCATTAAAAATGTAACAGCTGATATAGAGACTTCTCTAAAACAGAGTAAGTGAAAAAAGCAGGCAAAGAACTGTGCATAGATTATGTTCATTTTTAAAGAAGGGAGAAAGAAAATGGAGAAATGAGAGAGACAAGAAAGAAAAGAAAGAAAAGAAAGAAAAGAAAGAAAGAAAGAAAGAAAGAAAGAAAGAAAGAAAGAAAGAGAGAGAGAGAGAGAGAGAGAGAAAGAAAGAAAGAAAGAAAGAAAGAGAGAAAGAAAGAAAGAAAGAGAGAAAGAAAGAAAGAAAGAGAGAAAGAAAGAAAGAAAGAGAGAAAGAAAGAAAGAAAGAGAGAGAGAGAAAGAAAGAAAGAAAGAAAGAAAGAAAGAAAGAAAGAAAGAAAGAAAGAAAGAGAGAAAGAGAGAAAGAAAGGAAGGAAGGAAGGAAAGGAAGGAAAGGAAGGAAAGAAAGGAAAGAAAGGAAAGAAAGGAAAGAAAGGAAAGAAAGGAAAGAAAGAAAGAAAGAAAGAAAAGAAAGAAAAGAAAGAAAAGAAAGAAAAGAAAGAAAAGAAAGAAAAGAAAGAAAAGAAAGAAAAGAAAGAAAGAAAGAAAGAAAGAAAATAAATTAGCTTCATATATATGAACTAGAGGCCTGGTGCACAAATTCGTGCTTGGGTGGGATTCCTCAGCCTGGTCAGCAATTGAGGCCTATTGGGGGGCTGGCCAGCCAAGGAAAGGGACTACAAGAGGTTGGCCAGCTTGGGGGTGAGGGGCACAGGAGGTTAACTATGGGAGCAAACTGAGTATCAGGAGGCAGCTCCTGTGTTGAGTGTCTGCCCCCTGGTGGTCAGTGACCATCATAGTGACTGGTCAACCAGTCATTTGGTTGTAACTCTTGCTTAGGCTTTTTTTATATATATATATATAATTCTGTAAAAACACAAGAATCTAAGAGCATTTGATTGAGGGTAGAAAGACTACTAGAAGTCTTAGGTAAAAAATAAATTTACTTTTTTTTTGTCTATTAGAATTATTATGTGCATATATTCTACAAAGAAAGAAACAAACAAACAAACAAAAAAGTAAAGACCACAAATATTCCCTGTCACCTTATTCTGTAATTTCTCAACTCCTTGGAGCAGTTGACATGTGCTAGGTTTCATTAGAAAACCAATCTGAAAAAGCTTAATTTACTTCAAAGAATAACTTTACCATAGCTCTTTGACTCTTTTAGTTGATGAATCACTAATTCGTATTTCCCAAAAAGTATTCCATATATGTAAAAATATATTAAGTGGAAAATGATTACTGTTCATATGAATTGGAAGTTTACAGATTATATAAAGTTAAATATTTAATTTTTTAATACTAGGTATTTCTGAGATTTTTACATGTACTCTAATGGGCAGAAATATTGTATACATTATATCCCAAACTCAGTTGATTGTGGTATATCTTTTGGTGTCAGTGTTCTGTAGAACATACTGTAGGAAACATGCATATAATTGTAATTCCACAAAACGTAAAAATACAGCAAGATGTAGACAGTATGAGGCAAGCTCTTTTTGAGGGATCAACATTGATTACATAGACAGGCTATCCCTGCCAGGTAGTATTCTCCCCCTCCCCCCCAGGTTAGCTCTTCTCAGCAGGTCCCTCCTCACACACACTGCAAGCTTCCCTCTTGTACCCACAACTTTATTTGTGTTATAGTTTTTTACAACAGCTTTCATGCTAGTGAGAGCTCTGGAATGACGTTAAATATAAAAAGGAACCATCATCTGTAAACTGGATTTCTGTAGATCTCAAGTTACCTATCTATAAAATGAAGTATACTCTGATAACTGCTATCTATATTAACATCTTTAAATAACTGAAAAGAAAAATTAACCACCAGGAATATAAAGAGTACATCTAAAAGTAAATTTAAGTAAAATTGGTAATTTTACCAAAACTAAGAAAGCACCATTCTTAGGAAAGCTAAGAACCTTTTAATAAACTGTCACCATTAGCTTTAGAACTTATAAGAAATGTACAATGTATTACTGTTTGACTGTAGACGAATACTAATTTCATCACAGGCATCAGCTGAAAAAATTTTGCATTAGAAAGCGAGGAACAAGGTAAAAGGTAAATTCTCAGTTCCCTATTCCATGATAACTGATGTTAATAGTAACAATTCAAAAATAAGATCTTAAAGTATCTTCTGAAACATAAGATAAATAATATTTAGTTTAATTGTTTGAAAATTTGAGTTAACTGTAGAATATTGATTTTTATTAGTTAACTGGATTATTCTTCCAACTACTCAGAAATTGAAGATTGTTCATCCTTAAACATTGCCACTAGATAATTAAAATTTAGAAACTAATTTAGTCCATCTCATCTTATAAAAACATGCTGACTATACATTTCAGAATTCATTCAAAATGTTTGTTTACAGTCCAAATTCAAGTGAAAGCTACCATTAAACATATATGAGGAAAAGTTTATTCTGGTTTTGTCCTTCTCAATATAGCTTTACTAATGATAGTAAAATCCAGTGGGTAGTTTCAGTGTGTGCTACAATGAACAAACAAATGCTACCAGCTAGATTCAAGGTTGTATATAAGTAAATGTAAATTCATTTTATTTTATTTGCCATTTCTCAAGCCACTTAAAAACATCAATTCAGTCTATTGTACTGTCCAACTAACAGAGAAAAAAAATTTAAGCTATGAATAATCATTTTGAAGCCATTTTAGATGTACTACTATAGTATTTCCACACTTAAATACATGCCAAATTCTTTTATAAGCAAACCACTAAAGTGAGAGAATTCAAGGAAGACTGCAAAACAAGGCTTACTTTCACTGCAGCAATAAGACGAATGTAGTCACTAAGTAGTTCTGAAAACATATAAAAGTCAGCAAAAGCTTGTTCTTGATGTAACTGGTCTATCTTCTCCTCAACCTCTGCAAGCTGAGACAAAGCTCTAGATAAAGCAGTATGATCCTCAGAATTACCTAACATGGCAGCACTTTTAGCAAAGGCAGCTGTGTTGGCTGAAAGTTCTGAAATAGAAAAGTATTCACTTTTAATGTTCACTGGTAAAGTTTTAAAATAATGCATTTTTTACCTTCTAAGTTTTATCTAGTCATGAATTGCTCAAATATTTTAAAATAATTAACATAAAGGCATAAATGCTAACTGCTTAAAGCTCTTGTGAAAGTTAAGAAGAACCACTAGCTATCTTCCCAGAATATGGACTATGCTTAAGAATTTAATATAATAACCTGCCTCCCCCTTTTTTCCTGAAGTGCCTACTCTTTTTGCCTATTCCTTAAAATGTATATATAAAATATATTTATATTTAATATGAAAATCAATGAGAACACACAATTGATTTAACTACTTTACCTTTAAACATTTATTTGTCATAAAAAACAATATATATAATTTTGAATGAGAATATTTAGCCAACTGTACATACAATTCTCATAGATCTTATTCGTTTTTTTTCTTTGTGTGCAATAGTGCTTAGTGAACTTTTAAGAATTTCTAAAGATTGTGTACATGATCATTTTAGATACTTCAAATAAAAATAGATGTCTATAGACTGGTCAATGACTAACAATCACATTGCTGAAAATTTCTCTGTTGCTCTGCATTATGTAAGGTGTTCTAAAAGAACCTGAAAGCCCATTCACTAAGATAATATACAACTGTCAAAAGCTATTATAAACTGCTTTCAATAAATTAGATTTTTATAATTATTGATTAAAATGTACTGCAAATAATGACACATACTAAATTACTTATCAAGAATTTTAGAAATCTGACATAAAAAGCCTTCTTTAAAAATTAAAAATAAAACCATGAAATTTAAAAATTGCAACTCAACTCTTCTATAAAATTTTAACAAAAAACCCAGATTAAAAAAAAAAATGGTTCAAAAATGAAGAAAATATTTCAGAGTTTTCTAAAAAATACAGGCACAAAACAAATATTTTAAAGAAAAAGTTCAGATATCCATTATTGAATCTCATATTTTTTATTATAATCAATTACTAAGATATTTTTATTCATTGAATAGTAAATACATTTAACAAAGAGTTAATCAAGTGAACAATTTTAATCCATAATTCAAAATATACTTTTATAAGCTCCATATTTTTCTACTTCTAAACTAAAAGTTAAATAGAACAACAATATATTAGATAACGAAGTTGAAATAGAAAAACATTCTCTTAAATTATTATTTTCTCTCTTTCATAATACCTTTAAAATACTCATCCTAATAAAATTTAAATAAAACGTTTCAACTAAATCATGGTGCTAAACAGATAATAATAAAGCAAACAAACCTTTTCTATGACAGACCAAGGCTTCAACATTGGCATGAAGTTTCCTAAGTTGCTGATCCAGATTTTCAAATTGCTGCTGCTTTTCTTCAAACCACTAACAAAAACAACAACAAAAAAGAAAAATGGAGCTAATTTAGCCAGAACAAACCACTGTAAATTAGGTTACCAATAGCAAACACCATTCCTTGTTTTAAAGCAACAAATTAACCATGGGTAACCATGGTAGTCAACTGATGTTGCTGAGAACTAAACTCAATAAGCAAATTAATATCCTATTTTCTACTTGTACAGCTTTAAAATGCAATTGTTGGGCTCATTAATTCATCTCATTATTCAAGTCGAAAAATCAGCTCTTACTGCATCCGATTCATTCATCTTGATTGTCATTTTGTTGACAGCGTCGGCAGCCTTGTTCACCATCCTCAATATTCCCGCTCCACTCAGAGCCTGTGTATTAACTGCTCTAGGCAGCTGGAATTGAATGACAAATAAGGGCAAACAAACCGGTTAAAAGCCTGGAGGTTTAACTGGGCACAAAAGGGATTGTCCACCTTCTCTTGCCCCCCCAAAAGGAAGAAAAAAAGGAGGTTGTATTTTCTTCACTCTCATACATTTCAATAGTGAGATCTAATTTCTCAAATATACTACTTGTACATTCTCAAAGGAAAACTTAAAAAAAAATAGACTTTCCATTTGTTTTTCTTCTGCACGTTTACATTTAGATGGAACAACAGTCTGTTTGTCAAAATATATTAAGTTATTGCCAAGCACCTTAACACTGGCCACCTGTTTGCTAGCAGAAATAAACTGTTCATAGAAAAGAAGAAAGTCTTGAGAAAAATCTCCTTATGCTCAGTTAAAATTGTATGATATTTACTTTTTAAAATATTCTGGGATTCAATATATTTTTAGAAGATCTTAAAAGGTAACATTTGTGCCAAAAAATCCTTAAATATAAAGAGCAGCATGGTTATTATAATTTAAGGTCTTTCAAGTTACAAATTTGCATTTCAAAACCTTAATCAGAACATTAGAATGTACACATAAACACATTCAACAGCTATCTCTAAAAATGTGCTCTGAATAAATTTACTTCAATACGATGCCTAAGTAACAATTTAGGACACTGAAAATTAGACTACATAAGTCTTCCTTTTAAATCTAGTTGGCACTGATAATCCTATAATTATCAATGCAAAGAAGACATTTTGCTAGTAATTTAGATGATTAAAGCTAATTAAAGCACTAAGCAAAAAAAAAAAAAATTAATGCTTTATTTCATCTATTAATCCACTTATTTACTGAGCACCTCTATTCTTATATAAATTATTACACTAAAAAATAAAAATACTGAGAATATTTATATACAAACTTTTAAAGTAGAATACCTCTGAACTTTCCAAGAACTGCCTTAAATCAGGATCCTGTAGTAAAGTGGGATGCTTTACTGTTCTTTGAAGATACCTAGATTTAAGAATAAAATTGCTCCTTTACTTATCAGTAGCACTTTATTTTGTTTTATTTCAACAAAATAATAAATAGGTAAAAAGATGTCCTCAGTCTAGCTCCTTTCATGTCAGTCTGCCTCACTATATTTAGAATCATAGAGCAATTTAATGATTTAAAAGTTTTTTGTTCATTTGAAAATTTGTATTAATGTAAAAAGAGATATGGCAAAGAATGAGGTGGTAGTGGAGAGGTTAAATAATATACAAACTTCTCACTGCAAAGTATAAAACTATATATGAGTTTGTCAAATAATTTTAATTTTGGATAGTTACTATGTTCCCAGTTATTACTTCAGAGTCCTAAGAAACACATCACTATATATCAATCAATTATATATATACTAGAGGCCCAATGCACAAAATTCATGCAAGACTAGGCCTTCCTTCCCCCAGCTGCTGGCACTGCCTCCCCTCTGGCACCAGAACCCGGGCTTCCCTCTGGCTGCCAGCAGGCACCTGGGACCCAGGCTTCCCTCACAGCCTGGTAGGATGTCCGGGCTAATTAGCATATTATGCTTTTATTATATATATTTTACTATGTATTATCAAAATGGAGAATAGCTCATCATTTTTTTTCCTTGTCAGCAGATTTAAATTATAAAAATCAGCTCTTGTCCTTATTTGACAAGAACTAAATTTTCTTCAATATTTCTATTTTGAAGGTTTTGCTATTATTGATAAATGCCTTCCTTATATGAAATTACATAAAATAGAAAAGTAAAGAGAAACATCATTATTAAATCACTATTAGCCCAAGTTTAGACATTTTCTGTACTAACCCCCTCCACATTTCCCTGTCATCTATAATAAATTACAAAAAGGTTCACTATTGATGATATTTGATTTCTTACAGATCTAATTCTATATTTAAAAATTGCTCTTTCCTGCCCTGCTGGTATAGCTTAGTGGTTGAGCCTCAACTCATGAAGAAAAAAGGTTGCTGACTTGATTCCTGGTCAGGGCACATGCCCCAACTGTGAGCTTGATCCCCAGTAAGGGTTGGGCAGGAGGCAGCCAGCGATCGATCGTCAATGTTTCTATCTCCCTCTGCCTTCCCTTTTCTCTATAAAAGAAATCAGGGGGCTTGTCCAGGTGGGAATGGCTGGGGGACAAGTGGGAATGGCTTGGGGGAAAAGGAGACATATGTAAAACTTTAGACAATAAAAAAAATTATAATAAAATAAAATGAAATAGGAAAAAATCAATTAAAACATATTAAAATTGCTTTTTCCTCAGATTAAAGATTACATAAATATTTCAATTATATTCTACCTCACAAGATATGGTTATTCTATTTCTGCAGAATAATAAATATAGTCAGCAATTGTTTCTACCTTTTTACAAGATTACAATATATCTAAGATAAACTTTCTGGAAAAAACAAACAAAAAACCTTCTCTAAAATGAAATTCTAAACAGTGGTTAAAATTACTATTTTATCCTATGTGGGTTTTTTTTGGTATATTTAAGTAAAATATATACCATATTAAATTTCACTTTAAGTCATTAGGACACATAAAAAGTCCTTATAATAGAGCATTTAGTAGATATATGCAATACAATCTGCACTGTTGCTTAAAAAAGCATTTGCTGTCTACATTATCAAGCTAAAAAAGAAATGCAGCAGGAACACTAATCCAATAAATTTAAGAAATGTTGGTATTTTCCCACTGGAATTTTACTTACAATTTTAATACTGAATTTATCCAGTGCTATTAAAGTAAGTTACTGCATAGTTTAGACTGCTTACTGCTTAAGGAAGTTTGAGTAAGATGTTCAACTGAGTATACACAACAGCTGGTAAAAAGCTAGCACTTAGACATTTGTGAAATGAACAAGCAAAAAGGAAGACAAAACATCTAGTACACAACCTTGAAGAAATAGTCCAATATTTCAAACCTACATGAAAATACCTAATACTGCTTATATTGAAAAATAGCTTTCCAAAGTGAATTCATATTACATAACATATTATTTTCTTTAAGGTTTATAATGAACAGCAGCATATTAGGTGCTGTGAAAAGTACTACAGGAAATAAACTGCCTAGGGTTTTGTTAACAAAACTCAACTGACAAAAAACAAAAACAAAAACAAAACAAAACAAAAAAAACTCAACTGACCACAGATTTCCTTTATTCACCCTACCAAATACTGGCATTATTGAGGAATTGATTATAGAATATGATATTCTAAAAAAAGACAGTAAAATTTTTCTTCTTAAGGATTACATGAAAGAGCAACTAACCATTAAAAACAAAAGTATTACTCTTACATAATGTTAAAATTAAGAACATAAAATTAATTTTAAAATTAATATTGGTAAATACACTCCAATTCAGAATTAAAGTGAGGGAGGATTGTTGATATATAAAGGAAAACATGTAGGAATAACACTGAAAGGGAGTATAGAAGAAAGAAGGAATACACAAGGAAAACAGAAATGAAAGATGCAATGCAATTAATAAAAGTAAGTATCAGATTCAACAAGAGGTGGTCAGTAGTTATTCTTCATATTTGCTCTAAGAAAAGATTAGTCCTAACTTTAGAATAATTACTTAGGGCTTTCAAGTTACTATTTACTTACCCAAAACAAAACAAAATATGAAGTAGTTATACAAAATGCTTAAAAGGAACAAAGTCAAAAATATTTCCTTGCGAAATTCAAACACGTGTTAATAATGAGAATTAAAAAGGGCAAAAGAACTTGATTCTTTCATGATATACAGTTGTTCATTCAACAAATATTTACCAAGCATTTACTACATTATGTTATTGTTCCAAGGACTCAGAATGTGTCAGTGAAGAAGAGAAAAGAAGTTCCTGTCCCTAGTGGAGGTTGTATTTTACCTCCACTGGGGACAGGAACTATAATAGACAATAAAAGGTCTAAGTTATGTAAATTATGTTTATGTGACAAGGTAGTAAATGCCATGGAAAGAAGGAAGGATAGAAAGTAGAACAAATGGGATCAAATGTGTAAGGTTTTGTTGGTGGTGATTTTTAAAAAGTCTGAATAAAGCCCAGTGATCATAAAACATTTTATTGGCAGGTGATATCTGAATTTAAAAGAGGTAAGGGAATTAACCACGCAGATTCCTGGAAAGAAAAGCTTTCTAAGCAGTGGGAGCAGCCAGTGAAAAACTTTAGGTGGAAAACTATCTGGAATCTTTGAAGGGCAGCAAAAAAATCAGTGTGGCCTAGAGAGAGTGATCAAGGAGGATATGAGATGGAATAGGTTAACAGTGAGCATATAAGGTTTTGTGGGCCATTATAAAGGCTCTGGCTTTTATAGAATGAAATGGAAAGTATTGATATGATCTGATTCATGGTTTAAAAGTATGACCCTGGCTGCAATATTGAAAAAGAAGTACACCTGAAATTAATATAATATTATATGTCAACTGTAATTTAAAAATAAACAATTATTTAAAAGGGGGAAAAAAAAAAAAAGGAGTAGAGGTACAAGGATGGAAACCGGAAGAATTAGGAGCCAACTATAGTTATTTCAGACATTTGGATTTGAAGAGGACTGGTGAGAAATGGTTATATTCCAGGTATTAGAAGGAAACAATAGGATTTCCTGATGAATCACACAATCCTAAAACATCTGCGTACGCTCCAAACTTCTTGATGCAAAACAGTGATTAATCAGTCTACACTGACTGTTTAGCCCTTTCCAGTGGATTTTTGGACACTTGGCATGACCTCATTCCTAAATGATACACTTACATCTCAGAAATAAAGAATGAATTGAAGTTAAATGACTTGCATGAAGTCATACAGAGTGTGCATATGTAATAAAATGAAGGCTTCAACAGAGAAAAGGATTCTAAATGTGCACATTATATCATGCTACTTTGTATTTCTGTTTTGCTGAAGTGTATCCTTACTTACAATATAGACTCAATATGCTCTTAAAATAAGATGTGAAGTACTCCCAAGAAAATCAAGACAGTGATCTAAGAGATACTCATAAATAGTAGTTTCTGCATAATTCACTGAGTGTGGCAGGGAAGTACTTGAGTTCTTAACCACTTCTTTCTTTCAAGAGAGTAATCTGGATTCTCTAAATTGAACAGACAAATAAATGTGTAAATGTACATACAAAGAAAAGTACTTCTCTGACCTATAAGATTCAAAGAGGCTGGATGTTCCACAGATATACCTATCCTAACAAATCAATTTTAAGAAATACCACAGAACAATTACTTTAGAAAATTCGTTCCAATTTTTTTGTTTCCATACCTTAACACCTATATTTTCTTCAGTCATCTTTCTAGTGCAAACTAAACTTTCCCCTCAATAGTATACTGTTTCCTTTCTTTCACTACTGCAAATTCCACTAAAATAGTATTTAACAAGTAACATTTGTCAGTAAAGAAACTATCTTCACGTATACACTAGGTTAGGTTTCAATATTTCCTTAAAACTCCTCAATGTTTAATACTGCTGAATGCATTCAAGTTACAAGAAAGGTGAATGTAGAATCAAATTATATGAGCTTGGTACAATAAATCTTCATTAAGTTCCTTATCAAGCATGCCATCTGAAATGTTTCAAATTTACTCATAGAAAAATAGGACTTGAAAGATTTCTCAAAGGGTCATGGTTATTCTTTCAGGGATTAAGCAAAAATAAAGCAGAGCAGTATCAACCTTTAATCTTAAAAATATTCAGCCTATGACATTTTTCACAACAGGAACAATTCTAATTCTTAATCTAAACATCTCTTGATGCGATTTAAATCCTTTCCTGAGTAACTGATTGTCACAGACATAATCTCACCTTTTTTTGCATTTCTTATTTGCAATTACAATTGATATACATTATTATATTAGTTTCAGGTGTACACCCCAATGATTAGGTATAACTTACTAAGTGATCATCCCAATAAATCTCACAGCCATCAGAAAACATGTATAGTTATTATTGACTACATTCCCTAAACTGTACTT